AGGTTTGGCAGCAAGTACCTTTTATTTATTTATTTATTTATTTATTTATTTATTTATTTATTTATTTATTTATTTATTTATTTATCTATCTATCTATCTATCTATCTATCTATCTATCTATTTATTTATTTATTTATTTATTTATTTAGAGACAGCTTCTTTTTTCTTTTGTTCATTTGTTTTCCGAGACAGGATTGCTCCGTGAAACAGTCCTGGCTGTCCTGGAACTCACTCTGTAGACCCGGCTGGCCTCGAACTCTCACCACCGCCCGGTTAGAGACAGGGTCTTACTTTGTAACCCAGGCTGGCCTGGAACTCGAATTCCTCATGCCTCCACCTCCCGAGTGCTGGGATTGGTGCACTGGGCATGCATTGCCACGCCCATCAGACTGTTGCCCTTTAGAAACTGAATGTTTTTAAAGATCTCTTTCTTTCTCTTTTTAAAACTGTATTTATTTAATTTTGCCACAGGGTTTTGCTGCAGCCCTGACGGGCCTGGAACTCTCCGTAGAGCAGGCTGACCTCAAATTCACAAAGACTTCCCGAGTGTTAGGATTAGAGGCATACGCCATCAAGCCCAGCTAACACCTTTCTTCTAGAAAGGAGAAAACATCCACCTCTAAGGAGGAAGGGACCTGAGGCAGGCGGGCAGGAAAGGGTCCTCTGAGGGGGTCCTAGTAGCTGAGTCCATTATCCCTGCTTAGTCAGCCAGGAAATGGCTCCTTTTTGCTTAAAGCCAGATTGAATTCGATTTGTCACTTGCAACCAACACACCCTGACTAAGACACCCCCAGACTAATACCGGCAATATCTCCAGAATAATTGACAACACAGCGGAGCAGGAAGCAAGAACTTGACCCTGACTCTTTGATTTCAGATAGAACCAGAAAGCATTCACTCAATGGACATCTGTACTCCAACGTGTGCCAAACGGTCAGTGTTAGATGCTGGAGGCATCAAACCAAAAAGCAAGCAAACAGTACAGGTGAGGTGGATCAGCAGGGAAAAGTACTCCCCACCAAGCCTGAGGCCCCGAGTTCCATCCCCACGACCCACAGGATGGAGAGAGAGAATCACTCCCAAAAGTCATCCTCTAACCTCCACACCTGTGCCTCAGCGTGCCCGAGCTCCTTCTCAAACTAAGTCAATAGGATTTAAAAACACAAAACAACAGCAGCAAAGAAAGTCCCTGTAGGAATTCTTAGTCTAACTAACTGCAGAGGGAAAAGAGGACCAGGCACTGGAGAGATAGATGGCTCAGGGGTTAAGAGCACTGGCTGCTCTTCCAAAGGACGGGGTTCAATTCTGTCTCCTCCCCGCCCCACGGCAGCTCACAACTGTTTGCAACTCCAGCACCCTCGCACAGACACGCATGAAGGCAAAACACCATTGCACATGAAAAAAAAAAAAGGGATCAGATGATATGCCACTGTGAGCCCATAGAAGGGACAGTTACCTCTAATGGGGTTAACTGTCTAAAGCAAATTTTTTCACAATACTGGATGGGAAAAACAGGGCTTTGAAAGGCATTTTGTCTTGATAGAACGTGCTAGAAGGGCTGGATACAGAGGACTAGCAAGGTAAACCTGGGCCAGTACCAAGAACGCATTATGACGAGCTGTGTGTGTTTCCAGAAAGTGATATGATAGCAGGGTGAGAGAGTGGCCGGGAAGTAGGCTGATGTGAAGGCAAGGGGTATGTTTTGAAGGGCTGGGTGACGAATTAAGACCTTAGCCCCAAAGCTCTAGGAAGCCACCGAAATATTTTATGCAGGGAAGCAACATGATGCATATTTCAAATATTATTCTGCCAAATGGGTATAATAATAGCTACCCTGTAAGGCTGTTGTGAAAATTACATACAAGAGTTAAATTAATTAGAAGCCTAAAAATGAATAAAGCAGCTGGGTGGTGGTGGTGGTGGCGGCGGCGGCGGCGGCGCACTCTTTTAATCCCAGCATTCGTGAGGCAGAGGCAGGTGGATCTCTGTGGGTTCAAGGCCAGCCTGGTCTACAGAGTGAGTTCCAGGATAGGCTCCAAAGCTACACAGAGAAACCCTGTCTCAAAAATAAAAATAAATAAATAAATGGATAAGCCAAAAACTCACCCTCATTCTGTTTCAAACACTATTAAAAACTCCAAACAGGGTCGCGCAGCGGTTGTGCACACTTTTAATCCTAGCACTCGGGAGGCAGGGCCAGGTGGCTCTCTGTGAGTTCGAGGCCAGCCTGGTCTACAGAGCGAGATCCAGGACAGGCACCAAAACCACACGGAGAAACCCTGTCTCGAAAAACCAACAAAACAAAACAAAAACAACCTAAAAACTTTGAACAGAATATCCACTTGTAGGTGGGATTATGGGAAATTCATGCCAGAGGTATAGACTTACTTTATAAGGAATCATAATAAAGTACTTTCAATAGCATAGAGTCTAAGCCACGTCATGGCTGGGGATGTGGCTCAGCTGGTAGTTTTCCTAGCATGCACAAAGAGCTAGGTTCGATCTCCAGAACCACATAAACCAGGAATGGTGTCCATATCTCTATTCACAGCAGCGGGGTGGGAGGGTGGGGGTCCATACCTCTATTCTCAGCACGGGAGGTGGGGGCAGGAGGTAAGAATTTCAAGGCCATCCCCAGCTCTATAACAAACTGCAAATTCAAGGCCAGTCTGGGCTGTGTGAGGCTTCATCTTACATCTGTAGTGAGCTGGACCGTTAAGGTTGCCTCTGAACCAGGACCTTTCCAATTGAGATGAACTTTTCAAGATCATTCTAGAAATAAAATGACTCCAGTAGTTGTACAGTGTTTCAGAAACCTCCGAGAAGTAGAGAATAGGGCATGCTATGGTCGCATAACGCTTGAGTTTGAAGTTAGCTTTCCTTTAAGGAACATTCTTGAACTGAAAACTGACTCTAAAGAATGCTTCTCCTGGGTCACAAGGAGAAACAAGAAGAGAGAATACCCTGTCGTATCATGAAGTACCCAAACCGTCTCTTTTATGTTGAAGAAAAGGCTGAGAGGAGACTTGGAGAACGAGGTCACTTCAGGCTGCCAAAGCCTTACGGGACTTCTCTCTGGTGTAATAGGTCACTGGGTTATGCAGCGAATTTCACTGTCTGGCTGATTTCAAGGGACCCCTTAGGCCATTTATTAAGGATAGTGGTTTAGAAATCGCAAGGACATCAGAGAAGTGACTTGGGAAAGCACGATTATTTAAAAAGGAAACCCTCTGAGGTGGCTCAGTGGATCCTGACACTCGTCGTAGTCAAGCCCGACGACCAGAGTCCTTTCCCCAGGACCCACACTGGGGGAGGAGAGAACCGCCTCCTGCAAGTTGTCCTCTGACCTCCACAAGTGTACCACAGCACGTGCATGGGGACTGGTGTGAGCACACTCTCACACGTGTGTGCGCTCACACACACACACTCATACAGTCGTGCATAAATGTAATAGAAACTTAAAAAAAAAGGTCGAGCTGATGAAATAGAGGGAAAGGGAAAAACAGACAAACATAGCTTTTTAAAAGCTATTTGGACGAAACAAATAAACCTTGAAAGCTTTCGCAATCTGTTTCTTGCCAAGCGAAGATGTGACTGCAACCATCGGACTAAATATATAAGATATCTGTTTATATGAACTCAAAAAATCCAAAGCAAAGGAGGGCTACATGGGGAAGTTTTATGTTCCTACACACGTTTTCCTGTTTCTACACATTTGAAATTTTGATTCTTTAGACATTAAATTATTTCCCCAGCACACTCTAAAGTGTCACTGATTCCTTTTTTCATCTTAAAAGTGTAACAAGTATTTAGAGTAACTTATTTTTCTCGTGAACTGTTTATTGAAGAACTTACATCGGATTTCAGACGTTAGCCTCCCACGAGGCTGTGCCTCTCCAAAGTCCCTAGGTTACTCTTAATAAAAAGGGTGCAAATAAAGAGCATTGAATTATGTTGCCAATCATACGTCTCAGGTTCCTAGCTGCTGAATTTTATTCTGAACCATGGCTAAGATAGTTACTCTCACTGAGATTCAGCTCTCCTCCCTAAGATGGGGATGGTAAAAATGAAGGCCTATTTCATGGTTGTTATGAGGGTCAAACACGTTACACAAAAGCGCTTCCTGTAACCTGTGGTGCCCGGTGGGAGCTATTATTTTTTTTCCTGCACTTTTATTATTGTTTTAAGACACAGACCATTTCCCAGCATCAATTCTGACTTCCGAAGCACATTGTTTTAAATACCACAGCAGGGCCCAACACTCCCAGTTTTTATACTCTTGGTTTTCATTAGCTCCCAACACATGCCAGCCCACCTGTTATACTGTGGGATGCATGGGATACCAAAAGCGGGCTGCAAATAATTTCATTTTCTGTATTTAACATGTGCAGGAACGCTGCCGTCAACTCCCCTTCCTGTTGCTAAGTACCCCTAAGAACAGGAGGAACAAATCTGTATCCAGAATAATTGTGCATTATGTTAATTGTGTATTAACATTATTCTGGAATCAGGATGTGTTGTCAGAAAAGAAACCCAACCTCTAAACATTATAAAGTGCTTCTTTCCCACAGAATAAACTTATACTCCCTTCCTTATATTACTGTAACTATACTATATGCTATAACCATAACCTCCTAGACTTTAAAAATGGCCTTAAGTTGCAAGTGTGAAGGAAACTAGCTGAACAAACATATTAACACCAGCTTTGGAAGATGAAAGATATCCTACTTTAAGCATAAAATTAGGGGACAGAATGTGTGAGTTAGCATAAAATTACTGGTGTTGATTTTTACTCAGCTGCCCCTTACACAGAGTGTTTCTTTGAACCCCCAATCCTATGCTCTGAAGCTCTTGTGAGAAGCCAGCTGTACTGTACCTTGATCAGGTTGTGCCCCACGGTGTAGACAGCTGTTAAATTTCCCTTCTCTCCCGGCGCATGCACACCCGTGCCAAACCCATGCCAAGCAACAAGGTAAGGATTGTGAATTGTAATCCAATATTTGACTCGGTCTCCAAAGGTCTGGAAGCAGTATGTGGCATAGTCATTGAAGAGCTCTATCATAGTCGCATTTTTCCAGCCCCCGTATTCCTCCTGCAGTGCCAAAGGCAAGTCCCAATGGTATAAGGTAACGACGGGCTCAATATTCCTAAGTATCAGCGAGTCCAGAAGTGCATTGTAGTACTGGAGACCTTTCGCATTCACGGCTGCTACTGTTCCGTGGGGGAACAACCGTGGCCAGGAGATTGAGAACTGATAAAAAGAAACTCCTAAAAAATCCAGAGCCAACAAGTCCTTTTCCAGAAAAAGGTAGCTGTCGGCGGACTTGTCCGTGATGTTGACATCTCTCAAGTGGGTGAAGATGAACTGATCCCAGACCGAGGGTCCTCTTCCGTCTGTCTGCCAACTCCCTTCCACTTGAAACGCTCCGGTCCCAACGCCCCAGAAAAAGTTTTTAGGGAAAGTGTCATAGAGAAACAGCTGACTTGCATTCACCGGACTCACGTACTGTTTTTGAGTCCATATCGCGCTCCGGTCTCCGGAGAATCCGGTAACAGCTCGCAGTAAGACAAACGCTGACAGCAGGACGGATCTTTGCAGTGCCCGGTTGGACATTGTTTTCCTAGAGCGTGTGCTTCTTGCATCAGAGCTGAAGAAAATCCATTCATTCCCCGGGGACCCCGCTGCACAGCCTGCCTTCATTTGCCACTAACTAACCGCGGGACTGTCTTTATCAGCGCGCCAGTAAAAGCCTGTGATTGTAAAGCCCTGTCAATGATTAGCCTGGACCGGGAGACTTAGGATGGGTCATGAGAGCCACGCAGTTTGAGGGAGGTGGCCTCGTTGCAGTCAACAACACGTGGAGTCTTCTTGGGATGAGGAAAAGGAGATAGATGGGGATGTATCTCTGACACTAATTTGAACGGGTTAAATAAGCATATGGAAACAACGCACAGGAGTGCCGTTTCCTGTGTTGCCCTTCACGGGGCCGTAGATCTTTTCTGAACGTTTCGAACTTTATTGAATAAGGGATCTACTTTTCTATTTTTAGAGTCTTAGCGTGGTAATTTTATCATCTCCCATTTTAGGAAAAGCAATTTTACATAGAAATCGATAGCCAGAAACAAACAATTAAAAGCAGGATATTACACTTCAACCAAAAACATACGCACCTAAGAATAATCTTGGTAGATGTCATCTATTTTAAGAAAACTTAGTTGAGCAGAGCAGCGGTGACGTTTAATCCCAGCACTCGGGAGGCAGAGCCAGGCAGATCTCTGTGAGTTGAGGCCAGCGTGGTCTACAGAGTGAGATCCAGGACAGCCAGGGCTGCACAGAGAAACCCTGTCTCAAAAACAAACAACAAAGAAAACTTAGTTGAACCATGGTGGCTCAGCCTGTAACTCCTGAAGTTGGAAAGCCAGAGCAGGAGGATTGCTGTGAGTTTAAGGACAGCCTAAGCTACATAATTGCCATTTTGACTACAGGGCAAGACTCCATCTCAAAGAACTGAAAACCAAACCAAGTAGCCAGGTGCGTTATGATCCCAGCCCTTAAGAGGTGGCGGCAGGAGGATCAGGCGTTCAAGGTCATTCTTGGCTACAAATGGAATTTGAAGTTACCTGGGGCTACATGACACTGAATGTGGGAGATAATTTGAGTTTAAGGACATGAATTTAATTTCTTTTGGCAATATTAGAGGTCAAACCCAGGACATGTGCATGCTAAGGAAAAGCCCCACTACTGGGCTGTATCTCTAGTCCTCGTCTTACTTTTATTGTAAAGCAGGGGGCTCATTATGTTGCCTACAGACTTGATATATAGTGCAAGCTGGCCTTGAACTTGTGGCAGTTCCCCTGCCTCAGGTCTACACCACCAGGCCCAGCAAGTTACCTAATTAAAAAAATTTTTTTTTTTAAAAATCTTAGACAGGGTCTCACTATATAGCCCTGGCTGACCTGGAAATCAATTCTGCACTACAGTTTCCTGTTACGTAAGAAGTAGCAGAAGTTGGCTGTGGTGGTGCACATCTCAAAAACAAGAAAATCAAATTAAAAACAAAAACAAAACAAGAAGCATAAGAATGATATGTATGGATTATTATGAGGGTAGAGTTACCATATCTAAGGCACTTAGACCAGAGACTGACACATAGTAATTGCTCAGTAAACTTAAATTAAAAACTACCCCGAGACAGGTTCTCATCCTGTAGTCCAGGCTGGCCCAGGACTTCTGGAGCTCCCCCTGCCTCAGCCTCTGGGTGCTGGGATTGCAGACAGGATTTTGCGGTGGAGCCCGGGTTGACCTAGCATTTGCCATCCATTTGTGCTGCCTCAGTCTCCCCAGTGAATGAGCACTATTTTTATGTGGAAGGGAAAGAGTGTAGTAAGCAATGCTCAGAGGCAGTATGGAAAGCACTGCTCTGACTCTGTTTCCCCTTTATCATCATTCGAGACTGCGTGCAGCACACTTCTCTTGAGCTTGACGTGTACTAAGCTGTCCACACCCAGCTTAGCCTGGTGTCTTCCCAGGTACACTCTCGCCATTGGCCATGACTCTCCCTTTATCTAGCTCATGTCTGTGGTTTGTTTGGTTTGGTTTGGTTTGGTTTGGTTTTGGGTTTTTGGAGACAGGGTTTCTCTGCATAGCCTTGGCTGTCCTGGAACTCACTCTGTAGGCCAGGCTAGACTTGAACTCAGAGAGATCCTCCTGTCTCTGCCTCCTGAGTGCTGGGATTAAAGATGTGAGCCACCACCCCTCGGTGCAATAAGTCTTGAAGTTAATCATGACTCAACTATTTTTCTCTTTTAAAATGTTTTTATTATTTTTTGAGAATTTCCTATATGCATAAAAGGAATCTTGCTGGGCGGTGGTGGTGCATGCCTATAATCCCAGCACCTGGGAGGCAGAGGCAGGCGGATCTCTGTGAGTTCAAGGACAGCCTGGTCTACAGAGTGAGTTCCAGGACAGGCTCCAAAGCTACACAGAGAAACACTGTCTCAGAAAACAAACAAACAAACAAAAAAAGGTATTTTGACATAGTCACCCACCATCCCTCCCTCTAACTACTCCCAGATCCACCCGAACTTCCCACCCCTTCCCAACTTTAGTGTGTGGTTTTTTGTTTTGTTATTGTTTTTGAGACAGGCTGCCACAGGACTTACTATATAGATCATGCTGACCTTGAATTCCCAGATATCCACTAAGTCCTGTGCTACCTATATATGCTCATGGGTGTTGGGCCATCCACCCGAGTGTGGTCAACCTAGGAAGGGCCACACCCTTAAAGAAACCTGACCCAACCTCAGAAGTCATCAACTGTCAATCACTCCCCTGTCCTGCTGGAATATTGACGGCTTGATGTTGTGTAGGTCGGTTTTGCTTGTTTTTTTATTTTGAGACAGGGTCTCACTACGTAGCTCTAGATGTCCTGGAACTCACTACTCAGGTGTGACTTAGTGAGGTCAAAGTTTCTTGCTGAGGAACAGATGCCTTCCCACTAAGGTAGGTAGAAGAAGCAGGTGTCTGTTCTCATGGCTGTTGGTGTGTGTGACTGTTGTGTGTGTGACCGTTGTTGGTGTGTGTGACCGTTGTTGGTGTGTGCGACTGTTGTGTGTGTGTGACTGTTATGTGTGTGACTGTTGGTGTGTGGGACTGTTGTGTGTGTGGGACTGTTGTGTGTGTGACACTGTTGTGTGTGTGACCGTTGTTGGTGTGTGTGACTGTTGGTGTGTGTGACTGTTGTGTGTGTGACCGTTGTGTGTGTGACCGTTGTGTGTGTGACTGTTGTGTGTGTGACTGTTGTGTGTGTGACTGTTGTGTGTGTGACTGTTGTGTGTGTGACTGTTTATTGTGTGTGACTGTTGTGCGTGTGACTGTTGTGTGTGTGACTGTTGGTGTGTGTGACTGTTGGTGTGTGTGACTGTTGTGTGTGTGACTGTTAGTGTGTGTGACTGTTGGTGTGTGTGACCGTTGGTGTGTGTGACTTTTGTGTGTGTGACTGTTGTGTGTGTGACTGTTGGTGTGTGTGACCGTTGGTGTGTGTCACTGTTGTGTGTGTGACTGTTGGTGTGTGTGACTGTTGGTGTGTATGACTGTTGTGTGTGTGACTGTTTGTTGTGTGTGTGACCGTTTTTGGTGTGTGTTACTGTTGTGTGTGTGACCGTTGTTGTGTGTGTGACCATTGGTCCTGGTGACCGACCTTCCCTATTGCCCTGTCACTGACACACACACACCAAGCCTCTACTCTGTATTCAGTTCAGCACACTGAAATCTCTGATTGCACAAGACAAAGAAAGAAACCACACACACTGGGAAGCAACAAGGAAAACTAAATTCGTAGGTGGTCATGATTGTGGTACGAATCCTAAATGGTCTTACAACAAAAACCTGGAGCCAGAGGTCAGGGTGAAAGCTGAAAGACCAGAGAAGCAGAGCAAGCCACAGCCACCACCTCTTACCCCACCAGCTCCTCAGCCTGGAAGAGAGACGGAGCTCCTGTCTCCTCCTGCCTTATCCTCCTTTCTCTGCCCACCCATGTCACTTCCTGTCTCAACCTTCCTAGTGCTGGGATTAAAGGTGTGTGATCCTGAGCGCTAGAATTAAAGGTGTGTGCTACCACTGCCTGGCTCTGTTTCTCTTTTAGACTGGATTAATCTCATGTAGTTCAGGGTGGCCTTGAGATCACAGAAATCCAGACAGATCTCTGCCTCTGCCTCCCGAGTGCTAGAATTAAAGGTGTGAGCCACCACTGCCTGACCTCTATGGCTGATCTGTGACTGGCTCTGTCCTTCGGGTGAACTTTATTTGCTAAGAGTACAAACAAAATATCACCACACATGACCGTTTATGCAGAAAATCCCAAAGGATCAGCTGAAAATCCTAGCACAAATGGACAACTATAGTAAGGTTACAAAATGAAAGTTAATATAGAAAAGCCAGTGAACTGCTTTTTTGTACTCCAGCAAAAAGACTTAAAAAGTTGATATGGAAAAGGCTATACTGGGGTTGGAGAGATGGCTCAGTGGTGATGAGCATTTCCTGCGCAAGCCTGAGGACCCAAGTTTGAATCCCTAGCAAATACAAAAGAAAGAAAGCTCAACATAATCCCAGTACTGGAGGCAGAGGCAGACAGATCTCTGTGAGCTTTAGGTCAGCCCGGTCTACATAGTGAATTCTGGGCCGGTGAGTGCCATAGGGTGAGACCCTGGATTTTTTGTTGCTGTTGTTTTGAAATTTGATGTGGCCACAGGTGTCTATAGCCTCAGTATTGGCGGGGGGGGGGGGGGGGGGGGGGAGGGGAGATGGGGGGTGTAGACAGATTTTTTTTTCTCCACACACAAAAATGCTTTGTTAATATAATATACACAAACTGTAAAGAAATAGGTTTAAATATCGGTATAATGCACACAGGTAGCATTCAATGTCCAGGGAGTGGAGAACAATCACAGGACTGCCACGGATTAGACTCCCAGGGTGGAAAGGACATCCATTTCTGGGTATGGCAGCCTCTTAAGTCCTGTTGTATATCTGACCCGGAGAAGCACTCCGTCCAAGAAAATGTGTAATCTGGTTCTCTTTAGGCATTGGAAACTTTCAAAATCTAGAGGGGCGAAAGAGCATTTTTTTTTTTTTTTAAAGTTCATGGACAGTCCTTTTTTTTTTTTTTTTTTTTTTTAAGATATATTTATTTATTATGTATACAGTGTTCTGTCTGCACGTATGCCTGCAGGCCAGAAGAGGGCACCAGATCTCATTACAGAGGGTCGTGAGCCACCGTGTGGCTGCTGGGAATTG